AGAAGTATATATGCATAGTGACTAGCAGCAAATTAACACCAGGTAATTCAGCAACTAGCACATCGTTGGGGCCAACAGGAGAGTAAGATCAACAAGTCTAAATCCACCCTTTGTCCAAGTGATGGAATCAATCAACATTCAATCAGCTTGTCTATCCTGAACGTTGTACATCGGAATGCCGCTCTATGCAATAAACATGGAGTTGTTATCACATAAGTGGTATGTTTCGTTGTGTATCCCCATACTGTTTACTGCAGTATAAATGAAATCTGCTTCACTTTGCGAATGACCAATCTTTTGAAGTTGATTTAAGTTCTACTTAAGTAAACTGCTACCTAACAGATTCATCTCAGATTAAAACATCTCATTCCAAAGTCGTGTTTTCTATTTCAGGTTCTAAGAAATACTGAATTTTCACATATTAGATATAAATCTATCGGTACCAGTTTGACGTGTCTGGTCATGAGTTAACTAACATAGTGATTATATATTTTTTGACCATTACATGTGTCATTCACACGTCATGTATGCCATTCTAATGTTCTCTGATCCATTTCACCATACAGCATTTATTTCATTCAATGTTTTGAAGCTCATATGAAAACATGAAAAATGTTACTGTTCCAGTTCCTTTTGAAGAGTGAAATTATTTTTGTTCTTGGAGTGTTCCAACCAATATAGTCATTATGGTTACAATCGGCCTGATTTTAATTAATACCTATCAAGTTAGATGTTATACACGCGTGCATGCACACCCACCCACACAAAACATCCGTAATTTGTGAATTCTGTTCGGACGATAAAGAAATATCTAATTTGATAAGAATCACTCTATAAATTATCTTCCCTTACTCTGAGAGAAGCATTGCATTATTCGTTCATTTTTTAATAATTTTATCTGCATAAAAGAAGGTATTATCAAAAATGGGAAACAAACTTCCGTATACTACCATTTCACAAACATTGCGATATTAACCATGGAATAATGTTAAGTTTAGTCTGTTTTCAATGTCATAATATGTGAGGTTCCTCATTCGCACATACATACAAACTGACAGCATAACACATAACAATATGCAACCAACCCAATGTAATACAATACAATTTTCACCGCCTGTGCATACCACACTGTAGACGAATCTCTCAGGTGTGTTATAGAGCGATAATCACATCGCGACATGATTAACAAGCCTACAGCTCAGCAGATTTTAATAACTTACCTTTTAATAAGAAAACAAGATTTATGGATGTCAACTTCTTTATTGTGAATAACACGAAGTTTCGGAGTGTATGCTTGCTCCTTCATCAGGTGAAAATCAGATCACAGTAATGCATTCCACTTCTTAATGCCCATCAAAGATTTAACTTACTTCCAGAGGCTTCTTTAAGAGGCATAAAAACGTGTTAATTAAGTAGGCCTTGTTAATTGGTGACTCTTAACTGCCTTGACTCACTCATCAATCAACAAGGGATTAGGTCCTGGGGCGTGCAAAGAACAATAATTTACCATCACCCACCAGTTATCTCCCCTTGTGGACATTTCCAAAATTGTACATTTTTGGAAATCTCATATTTCCAAAATTGGAAACATTGTTCTTGAATATGTCATGCTTCTTGCATATTTCATGCAATTCGACTGCGTTTCTCCTTTTTAACACATCCTTGCACTTTGCTATTGCTAGAAGACCCTTTACTTAGGTAAATACAGTTTTAGCACACAGCAAATGCTTATATGTATTTCTTATGCAACAATGAAGTTCTGTCCGTATTCTCAAAATAGTGTCGGCCCATAGGTTTTCACATGCAATACAGCAATTAATACTCCCTTGTTGTAACCCGTGTTAGGTGGTATAAACCTACACGTCATTTGTCATCATTCACTTGATGGTCAGTTAATGAATTTATAACAGGTATAATCAGTGGTAACACCACTTAGATTACCCGAAAAAGGTTCCCATTTTGCATTTCTTGTGTCTGGAGTAAATACTCAACATTATAAACATCGATCAAATGATTAACCCATACTTTTATCTTACACAGCGGATTTGTCAAAAGGTAGTGTTTATGTATGTACATTTACTAATCTATACTGAATACACTCTGTCGTGTCTGTGTCTGCGTAAAACAACTTCCTTCTTTCAAAGGATTAACCGCCAAGACATTGATTCTCATTATTGGCTAACTAAATTACTTTTTTGTAAAGAATGGCGGACATTATGCAATTAGTTCCCAGGTATGCTATCTTTGATGACCAATGAGACTATATACCAATGTGAAATACCTGAAACGATATATCACTTTTCGTAAACATGTATTAGACTGTTAAAAGACACATCATTTGGAACAACTGCAGGTGAATGGTATATCACTCATTTTGTGGATATTGATGGATACATTCCTTTGAACAAAGTAATCGCCTGACATTGTTCTTATAACTCTAATCTGTTTTAATTTTAATAATTGCATTTTGTTGTTTTTTTCATTTTTCGTAGCATTCCACAGAATCATTGTTTTCGTCGTGAAGTAATGAGACAGACAACATACACTAGGGCGTGTGCGAATTATGATTTAATTTGGCAAACTATAAAATGTCTAGATATTCAAGTTATAAGTATAGGCAGATCGCCTGATTTTATTTAGTTTCAAAATGCATACAAGTATGATAATAAACTAATTAGGATAATAAGACCAAATATAAAGACGCACGTTGACTAGTATCTACATAATGGTGAGTGGACGTTTACCACGTGAATGTAGCTAGAAATTTATTGGGCTGTATTGTCACTTCGACCCCCACCTCGCTTCCGAGGAAGAAATCGTTATGTTACAAGTTGTGTCATGCCAAATCCTGTTGGCCATGATTCAAATACATATTTAACTACGAGTAGAAAGTAGTTTCGATTTTCTAACTTGATGAAAACAAACCATAATCTACTCCCGGTAGCAGATTTCCGGTGACAAGCGTATCTTCAAGAACTAGTTCTGATTCCATATTGCGCGACCGCCAAATATGATTTTACTAGACCGAACCAAGTGTACAACCCCATGTTTGGCTTTCACAGCTGTTTACAGTCGTTATAGATGGGTGATTTGGGGATGAGTAGATCGGAAATTTGTCATTCCTGCAAGGATTATCCGTTCCTTACTGTCAACTGACAACCATACTCCTAATCAAAAAGGTATGAAACGTGGTTTGTAACCGGAAGTACTAAACCACGCAGGGTCATTCGTAACTACTCGCCTCTTTCCGTGACCTACAAGAAGACTCGTACCCCTATCGTGCGCCATTTTTGCCAAGAATCGTGGCAAACCAATCAAATCGCGCGTATTAAAACGCATTTCGAAGCATGAAAATGGCGGCACCGTTGAAGTTTGAAACTTCGCTAAACTATGCAAAGCACAATTTAAACATAAACTTTGAGCTTAAGGACCAGAAACTTAAAACACTGAAACATATTTACATGACAACCATTATTGGCATGAGTATATTATTACTAAACAATGATACTTTTTCAGATTATAATTATGGAAATAAGCCAACAGCTCAACCGCAGCTCTGTGAACATTGACATTGTTTGTTGGTTGACGACGAAATATTCCATCTATTATAACGGGTGCTAGAAAGATAGAATTACTTTCTCAATTTCTAAGACGATTGGATATCTGGGCAAGTATCCAGTAGCAAATGCATTCACATCATTATATTGTTTACTCGAAATTCGCTAATTGACCGTGAAGGCCTCCAGTGTCATCGATTCACTGGTATGAAATACGAAACATTAATCATGTTCAGAACATTTTATTGATTGCAGATTACAGCACAATGCCTTCTACGAATCTTGCTTGTCTTCATTTAACGTCTAGGTGCTGTTACCATAAAAGAAGGATATCATTTAGGCATAAGGGACCGTTCATAATTTATGGTAAAGTGGGTTGATGATGATTATTATGCAAAAGCATGTACAATGTGAATGACACCCTGGTGGTTTACATAAGTCACCCACCTCCCTGCTAATCATGTATTAAAATAGAACATTTAAATCTCAGAATGTTATTCAACTTAGGATGAAAGTTGTTTAACAAACGACCATAGATTCGAATCGTTATTATGGTTTGTATTACAAGGGGGTAATCGCACTAGTTGGAACAGTGAAACAAATGCACGTGTGGTACGTGATGACTTCGACCAACCCCTACACGTCCTCGGTGTTTCCTTTAATGTGCATACCCCCTTGTAATACAAACCAATAATAGCAATTTGAAAATATGATCGTTTGTTAAACAACTTTTCTCCTAAGATGAGTACAATTCTGAGGTTTAAATGTTCAATTGGCAAGGTAAAATTATGAGGATTGGCAATTTTAATTTCACTTTATTTGATTTACGTTTTTGTTTAAAGTTAAATTCATCGGTACGTTTTCACTGCAAACAGACTATAGTACATGTGTACAAAATTGATGACCTCCCAGAACCAAATGGGTGACCCCTTTAAAATCACCATCACTCCCCTAGCCATAAATTATGAACGGTCCATAAACATATACAAATCGTACATATGGAACCCGTAAAGATACGGGTTAGAAATGGCAGTCAGCAACCCATGCTGTTCGTGACGTGATCGGGTGGTCAGGCACACTGACTTGGTTGACATATGTAATCGCATCCCAACTGCGTAGATCAATGCTCGTGCTGTTGATCACCGGATTGTCTGGTTCAGACTCGATTATTTACAGACAGTCGCCTTCTAGCTGGATTATTGCTGAGTGCGGAGTTAAACAACAAACAATCATACATATGACCGAACTATTATCTCCAGAGTATCAACGAGCAGATAAAACAGAAGTTACAAGAGCAGTCTTGGATTACGGATTAGTTGGGATTACGACTGCAATAACGTTTTTTATCTAGCTCACTCGGTCTTATTAACGCTAACCGGACATAACAACTATTATGATCTCACCTGGTGGCGGAGATGGTCCTTGGTTTGTGTCTGGCTCTCCCTAGGGACTGCAGTGAAGGAAAAACACAACTGATTCAAGTAGGTTCAACGTCAACAGCGCCATGGTAGGGTACAATCTAAATTCCATTTAAGTGTGAATAGCTTCTCACCGTCCCTATGAGATCCCGTTAGAATTAGTTCCCGGCAACCAGTGCTTGTGAGAGGTGACTAAAAAGAGTGGTCAGGCTTTGCTGACTTGGTGGATACTTGTCTTCAAAATCCGATTTGTGTACATTGACTCTGTTTACACTCCGCCGTCAGTTGCGATATTGATGGATGCAACAATAATCACCAAACAAGCGAAATGCCTTCTCGTCTTTTCGAAAAGCAAAGCTGTCTTAGACTATACCATTGCTCTTCATAATGCGCATGTTTACAAGAATACTTCAATGTAATGTGCGTACAGTAGATGATGCACAACACCTTTAAGTTAATTTCACATACCAGGGTGGCTTGAACTCCAGCCTCGGACATTCCTTTGGGGTGGACGTAGTGTAGGTCAAGTTTCCTTCCTTTTCACAGGTAGTGTGGTTGAAAATGTCAAGAACCCTGAAGAAGAGAAGGGTGATGTTGTCATGGTTATCACTTCAGAGGTGAAGACTCTCTGGAAGGTTCAGGGCAGTATATGTAGCTCTAATTAACAATGTGAAGTGAGGGAAAGGTAAGTCGATAATGAAGTGCTCAAAGACGTAAGTAGAGAGAATATGTTCTTACTCTTGTCTTATAAATGTAAGATCCTGATCTAAGTGCCATACAATCTACAATACTTGAGTACGAGTTGTTAAAGGAGAATACTAGAAAATTGCAATAATTGTCTGCGTTAAGTCATCAGAAATATGTACCCAAATAGTGTAATGCAAAAGTATGTATATTTATATTTAAACCGCGAAAACAGTTTTTGTTATCTGAGCTTCGGTCATTATGCATATTCCGCTGGAACTCACGTGACCTTTTCGCTCGTGACGTCATATGTGACTTAAGTCGGCCATGTTGCCTAAGACCCAGCGCTACAGTACTACAAATCGTATTTTTAAGTCGTTTTTGTAAATGGTACGATGGTATATTGTGTTTCCTGGAGTGTGTGAGTAAGTGTGTTACGTCGCTTTTAGCAATATTCTAGCAATATCACGTAGGAGGACATCAGGAATGGGCTTCATACATTGTCCCTATGTAGGGAGTCGAACCCGCTTCTTCGGCGTGAAAGTCCGATTATGAGGAAATATATATTATCAAAAGCAGCAAGCGATTTCACATTAGCTTGAAACTGTTTCGCTATAACGTTCGCTCTGGTTTGGAGCTACACATAACTTGAGTGGAATTGAGTTTTATCTCGCCTGTGTTTATCTCAATATTGGGTATCCTAGTTTTCCTTTGAGTAACCAACTTAATTGTACCTACCTCACTCAAACTCAAGTGAGTATTTTGCTTTTTTTCTATTCATTAAAAATATATAATAAAGAATAAACGTTGGTTTGTTATTTATATTTGACCTGTAATATGAGAAAAGATACAGACTGCAAGTTCATGTGTTGAAATAGAACCTCTCAGTACCTCAGTTATTTTATCTATCCACCCGTACGCAAGCCAAGATTTGACATTTTTGTGTGTACACATGACAAATCAAATTTATTGAGTATTTGCAAACATTCAAGCGTACTTGTACGCAACAAACTTAATAGGAATTGAGTTTTGATATAAATATTTGCGTCATGTACGCAGATACGCAGCTTGTCTAGCTCTGCAGTCTAACATCCATGTTTAGAATGCTCCTATTGTTATTGTTTTGCGTGAGTATTCTTTAAACTCATGCAAGTATACATTGATGTTTTACGACAAAATCATCTGTAAAATGTGACTTCTCAACTTACGGATCATCAGGGTAAGCCACGTATATGAGCCACGAACAGCGGTTGATCTTGACGTCACAGCACGGTTCGTCCACATTACAGTCCAGCAGTTTGAAACATTCGGTGTCGAGGTTGTATGTCCACAGACCGCCAGCAACATCACAAAACACTATGGTATCTTTTGAAGAAAAGATATCAAGATCTGAATTCTAAAGAACTACTGATATAGCAGACAATAACAGTAAATCTTGGAATCCGTTATCTCAACAAATCATGATGACGACAGCTTTTGTTTCTAAACATGGTCTATTGTTTCTTTTTGTTTTCTTTTCGTCTTGTTTTAAATATTAAGTTTGAAAAAAAATAATGTCTTTATCATAATAAGAGCATAATCGTTAGTATCGATAGTTAAATAATTTAAAGAGTTTATCGGAAACTGAGCAAGATACAAGTTACCGAGGTATTATCTTGTTGCGTACAACTATTCAAAGGTTTCCAAAATATGATTTAAGAATACGAATCACAAAAAATATCATGGAATTTCAGAGAATGGACTATATATAACGTCTTTGTAAATAACTGATGCAACATGTTCGTAATGACTTCAAATATGTGTGAAATGAATAAACAAATCTCTGACATTTACCCATTATATACTGTAATATTTTGTCCCCTTAGCCATCAACGCGACAAATGACAAATAGTTTGAAAACATCTTCAGAATTGTCAAGTTAAACAAGGTTCGGAATATAATTCATATACACACCATTGTCAATAACATCAAACGACTTAATTTTCATCGGAAACTTCACTTTGGTCTCCAGATCGCCACCTAATTTGTTGACGCACAGGATTTCGTTGGAATCGCTGAAATACACTAGCCTAAATGGAAAGAGAAGGTTATTAATTACAGTGAACACTAATTACTGTTATTTGCTCGACAATCTTCCGCTGAATGTTAAGTGGGATTGCTTATAATGTCCACCCGCAATGTGTTTCGTGTACTGTATTTCTGCCGGTAACACCAGTTGTTTACACACCTTAGCTTGCTACAGCCCCACTTAATTACTTGGTTACAGACCCTTTAAAGATCAAGATAGCTAACTTCACAAGCAGAGACAGGTATTATGATTAAATTATCGTCACTACCATCTGGTTATTGTTAATTAAAAGAGGACATGGTGCTTTTACAGACCAATGAGCACTGCAGTCTGACATACAAGTTGGACAAGTGGAAAGAACTCCATTTGACTTGTAAGTAGAGTTTGGTAGAAACTGACATATGACAAAAGAACAGAACTTGTCCCCAACTACATAAAACCTAATTGTGAGTAATAAGTGATGCAACTTGTGCGTTATGGACAAAAATATGCGTACCATATATAGACAAAACTTTGATACTAACCCATCATAAACTCTGAGTTGCCCAGCACATGAAATATTGACAAGAATTTCTCCAGCAACGGTATCAAAGCGGTAAATGACACTGTTTCCGTCAGAATCTTCCATGGCGATGAAATACCAACCGTTACAAAATGCGATGCCAGTCCCTTCACCATCCAGGGGGCCTATAGAGAACCAAAACATAAGGAATGACGACTTCATGTAAACAGGACATATGTACGATGTACAATATTTATTTTCAGTTGGCATGCACAGGGACAAATTGTCAGTGCTTTGTATATATCAATGTAAATGTACTGCTGTACAACGCTACACACACGCACGCTTACGCACACACGCACGCACGCACGCACACACACACGTACGTATACATACACATCTTAAATATTAAGGTTTCAAGACCCATATATTATGTGGGCATTACACACAATTAAGAGTAGTATCTGGAAAATCTCAAGTCAGAAGGCTATCAATAGATTGCTTGACGATTATCCTTTCATCATAAACAAACTGTTTTGGTTTGATCAGAAAAATATATTAGTGCGAATTTTATTCGCAGGTTGACACCGACGTTTTCATGGTATACATATACTCCACTAGAAACTTAATATATGCTTGTATTGTTGTTTAAACTGTCATATGTTTAAATATTGACGTATGAACTGACACGAAGCGGGTGTTAAGGCTGTCATAACTTACTGACAAAAGTTTGTAGAGTCCCCGACGGTAAGTTCAACGCAACCACGGTGAGAGGATTGGTAATCAGGTAGAGGATGAAGTAATTAAAGGCAAAAGGTCCAGTAACTGTAAGAGCGCTGACACTGCCAGTAGTTCCTATACTTGGCAGGATCGTTCCGACCGGGTCAACCACAGCAATGTCAGAGGAGTTGCATCCAGCCACCAACACAGCACATCCCTCCACTGTTTAAAATAAAAGGCAGATATTTTGAAAGCATATATATTGATAATTTGTTCTTCAGATATTTTACCGAATGTCATTCTACACGATAATGGACAACATTAATATAATCTAAAGACATGTCACACCGGTTGTATAGAAGGTGAACAGGGTCAGACATACAAACACTAAGAACGATCATTCAAGTGTATCAACATAATCTTTGATGAAAGCCATTTGTGACTGAATTTACAAAATACGTACGGTTTGTATTTGGTTCATATTTCTGTGTTCGAATATTCCAAAAACTAACAGATCAAATCATATATTTTCTGTACCGATTTAGTCTGTTTTGGTTCCAGCCAGCCAAGTGAGACCAACCGTCTCTTATATTACTGGACTATACTAACGTGCAGGACAATCATCTGGTTGGTCTTCTATCACAACAGTAAGGTCGCTGATCAGGTCACATAAGCTGCTGTTGATGTCGAGTACACGTGTTTCAAAACAATCTGGATCCCCAGGAGCTAAAACGTAGAAAATGTTGTTATTAATGTAATTTAATTACCTTTGCTATCCTGATGTTGTAATGATAGCGAAGGCAGGGCCTTATAGTCTAAACGCCAATATATTAAGTAAGTTAGACGCCATGTGTGTCTATGACAAATTCACAATTTGTCCTTTTATGACCTTTGGTCATATCCATGCTCAAGGTTTTCACACATCTCACAAATATCAAGATCTTTGTTAATTTGATTTTTTCATCACACCACAATTGAGCACTCTGTTATAGGACTCATTCAGTTAGGAGGACAATTTACATTTTATATGAGGACATGTTTCAGGTTATTTGTTTCTTGTGCTACCTTCTGTCACATGCAAGTCAGTAGACTGGCTGATTTGATCTGTAACAGTCAACACTAAATCTTTTTGAAATTTATATTTCTACAACCTACGTTTACAAGAAGAGTTAAAACACAGATCTTAATGTGGACTATTTCACACCGAGAACAAGTTTAACTTTGAGGGTTGTTACAGTGTTGCCTTTTGCCATGTCATGCCAACAGACGTTGAATGCCTTGTGTTTGTTGCCAGATGTAGACTCCAGCTGAAAGAGGATACAGCAAGGTCTACTGGGTGGGACGTGCGTGTCATCCACTCAGCTATTGGGGCTTTTGTTGGGTTCAGGATTTGATACATTTCTAATATCAGTAGATTCAAATCATTAACTAGTATCTGGTCCTTTAAGTGGATATGGTCATTTTTGTCTGAAAGAACCATTGAAGCTCGCGTATTTCAAAAACTGTTAGACGTGAACGTAATTGAAGATGGTACCCACAAGGAAGTGTAATAAGCTCAGTTCTATTCAGTATCATGAACTATGACATTTCCGAAGACCTACCTCTAAATATTAATGCTGAAGAATGTGCAGAATACGTACTGCATTTGAGACGGTTTGGTATTTTTTAGGTGGATTTAGAATCCATTCGAAAGTAAAATGAGGATGTTGTGTTCAGAATGGGGATTCCAGATATCCCAATCAAACTTAGTAGCGATGATGACGTAAAATCCCTTATGATATTAATCTAAGTGTAACAAGAGCACCAATCTATTTCAAAAACGAAGTGATGTGCTGATAAGTCAACTATGGTACTGCTTTACAAGGCCCTGATCTTATCTTCACTATTTTATGCCTGCTTCTAAATGTACGTATGAGTCTAAACCTTTGAGAATATGCACCGGAGCCTATGCAACAACTCCAACCTCACAAATGCCTCTTCACCTTCGAACACAACATGTATTTGTGAAATGCTTCTCAAACACGAACAGCAAGAGCAAACACCATACAGTCACTGAGATTGTTAATATCTTTGTGGACAATTTCATGTGTGACTGGTCTCACGGCAAACTTCCGTTTGTCTTATAGTTTATCCTTCTGCTCCGCCTTTCACACACACGTGGCTTTTGCTAGAGCAAGGAATGAATCAGCATAATTGTGAATACGAAAATGGACCAAAGGTAATATTATGACTTTCTGTCCTAACGTTATTCAAACGTCACAAACATATACACCGGTGCATAAAAAAATCATCTAATGATCGATTGTACCGCTTGGTCTTGTTTGATACCCGATTTCTCGATCGATAAGGTGTTCAGAATCCTGATTATTTTGCAGTTAAACTTTTGCCCATTTTGCAAGCCCTGCAATGGTAGATGGACATGGCTATGAAGCAGTTATCTTTACAGATGCCATGGCAACAATTAAAGCTGTAGAAGCTGGTGCAAATAGATCCAGAAATGGAATTGTTTATAAGATATTACAATATCCTGAAGTTGATGTGGAATTTTTAAACTGTCATTTCGAAATCACTTTCAAAGAGATGGCAACAGTTGTGGGGCGTTGGTACTACGGGCCGACATATGTACAAACTTAGACCATCTTCAAAATCTGGTCATAAAATCCATCGTCATGATGAGGTTGACGCCACTTTGTACACTGAGAGCTAAATGCCTACAGGAGTGTCATTGATAATACGATATCGTCTTAATGTGACCTTAAAATTTGAAGAATCCAAAACATATTGAACACTCTTAAATTACATGCCCTGGACATAACAACATCAGACAAACTCTCATAAGTGCTGTAATAGTAGTTGATGATACATTTTCTTTAGTGACAGTTTTGCGCCCCAGTATCATGTACAGGTCCAAGCAACTGGTACATGTAGATTTTGTCTCGTCATCTAGAAAATATGTTGTAATTTAGATAGGCTCTCAAAAGGCTTTGACAGATTTACTTCTATGATAATAAATCACTATAAGGCTCTGTCATGTTGATCTGCTGCTTTTTAACTGAATGAGTATTTCATGTTTCAGAAATGGAAGTGAATAATTACGGTTTAAATCCCTAACATGAAGCAGAGGTTACTCTAAAGACTTTTGTGTTCTCTCATCATTACATTTATATTTTTCGGAAAAAACATTACTTTCAAACAAATATTCTAGTAAATCCAACAAATCTATAACAACAGTGCTGGTATGTAATCTGAGTAAAACTCTTAATGCAAGTTTAATAACGTTTGTAATATTTGTCTGTTTGTTTGTCTGTATGGATGGATAGATTGATGGATATAAGTACCGGGTTATGTAATTTACCTAACACGAATATTAGCCTATAATACTACGTACAGTACATGTAAACTGTCTGGTGAACAGGTATCTTCCTCACAATCATCATATACAATCAAATTCGTTTCATGATGTTGGCTTTAAAGTCTATATAAAACACCCATTGATTTATGAACACGTAACCATTTATCAAACGGAGAATACTTTGGTAATTCTCAGTACCTTTAATGATGATAGGAAGGCATATCTATTGTTAGCAGCATTTAAAGTAAAAAACCAATCAAAGAATGTTTCGTGTAAAGCATTCATTATAGGTATAGGTTAATATAGGTATAGCAGTTGCATGTACATGTTTGTTACATACAACAGATCAGCTATTTGAATAGATAAAAACCAAGCTCAAACGTGAGGCTAAAGTGACAAAGGGAAACAACTCCTACATGCACCACCTTATTAACTCATAGATATGATCAGTGTTTACATTCGTATTTTGTATCTTTCATTTCATCTTGTCTTAAAAAGTGTAGGGTAAGAATTGGTCTTCAGCGACCGATGCTTGTCATAAGAGGCAATTAACAGGATCGGGTGGTCGGGCTTGCCGACTTGGTTGACACATGTCATCGTATCCCAAGCGATCGATGCTCATGCTGTTGAGCACTGGATTGTCTGACCCAGACTATTTACAGACCACCGCCATACAGCTGGAATATTGCTAAGTGCTGCGTTAAACAACAAACAATCGAACCAAACGAAACAAATTCGTCCAGGTGTGAGAAGTGAAACAAACAACATTATGACAGTATATCAGTACATTTAAACATTAGGGGCTCTGGGGTAGCCTAGTGGTTAAAGCGTTCGCTCCTCACGCCGAAGACCCGGGTTCGATTTCCAACATCGGAACAATGTGTGAAGCCCATTTCTGGTGTCCCAATTGTGAGATTGCTGGGATATTGCAAGTGTGGCGTAAAACTAAACACATTCACACTTATACTGCGTCATTTGTACTGTATAAACCGTGTCCTGTATAAACTGTATGTACTGTATAAACTGTGTCGCGTGGCAGTGTTATTCACTGTGTATCAATGTTCCAATTGTAATACAGTCAAATCCCGATGAGTCGAATGCCGATGTCTCGAATATTATGCATAACTCGAAGTACCTGTCGGTCCCGACCATTCCCTGTTATAGTTGTCATCATTTGAATACCTGTTACACGAATTCGTCTCATAAATACACACGATGACTCGAGAAGGAAATTTGGTGGATAGGCAATGTATACCAGATTTACAGAAGACGTTCTGGAAGCTACTACAGGGTACTACAACATGGCAAACTGCTAGAGAACCAACAGCATCTTCTTGCATTGTTCTTTAGGGTAGTTAACACTAGGCACTCAAGTTACCAGAAGGCCAGCATTGAGTGATGATCATATAATTACCTACCTAACAAGGCGTATAGTTGTAATCGCTGTTCTTCTTATTTATTAACTTTGCACACGTACTGCCAAGTTGTCTTGTACTGCCAATGTGATTTGTACTGATTTTCTGAAGTTTCTCAGTTTTAGAATACAACTGTTGATTACATCACATTTCTTTGTTTGTGGGTTTCACACCTAATTCTTTTACAGACTGATTCCCGGTTAACTGATTAATTTGAACTTGGGAATTACCATGCAAGAACCACATACTGCTTCTTAGGTAATGCGTTTTTGTTCAGTACACCTTTGACCAATACAAGCCGCAGTAATGACATAGCATACCGGAGGGCATTTGGCAATAACATCAAAACACATAGCATACATATAGTTAATTTTCCATAAACCTTTTTAAATGAGTTTAGATTTAAGACAGGTTGCCAAAATGATATTCTTGTAACATTAAAATAGTGCTGAAGTTTGTGACGTTCTTATTGAGAAAGCAACGCTATCATTGAAAATGTGAATATCTATTGGTGTAAGGCTCGTTTAGGATTTAAGAACGGTGATCAAAGAGACCTTAGTAATGGCATATTGGTAGAAGTGAGGTATTGTTAGAAATTTGAGAATTTGTACATTGTCTCATACTGGCATTGAACATGTTTAAATATCTTATTTATTACGAACTGAGAGAGAAAATTTTCTTTAAATACAGTTTAAAACAATAGACGCGCTTATGAGAGAGAGAGAGAGAGAGAGAGAGAGAGAGAGAGAGAGAGAGAGAGAGAGAGAGAGAGAGAGAGAGAGAGAGAGAGAGAGAGAGAGAGAGAGAGAGAGAGAGAGAGAGAGAGAGAGAGAGAGAGAGAGAGAGAGAGACCACTTAGTCCACTATTTGCACCCGTGAAGATCCATGCTTGACGTAAGAGGCGACTAACGGGATCGGGTGGTCAGGCTCGCTGGCTTGGTTGACCACATGTCATCGGTTCCCAATTGCACCGATCGATGCTCATGTTGTTGGTCACTGGCTTGTCTGGTCCAGACTCGATTAATTACAGACCGCCGCCATATAGCTTGAATATTGCTGAGTGTGGCGTAAAACTAAACCCACTCACTCACGCCACTGTCAGCTTTAGTGTTACTATTTAATAGCTTCGCATTTTACACAGGTTAGATATGCTATCATCAAACCATGGCGTTTACTTTTACTACGAATGTTGACATGTAGCTGTTGCAGAGCAATGTTCAAGTTACAGCTTTCGTCCAACAGATCAGAAACGTCAAAAATGTTTACACACATATTCGGAAACGGTATGAACATGGAATTGAGAAAGATCATCATTATTTGTGTTTTAACTTACTAAGACATGGGCATTGCTCGTCGATGATGTCAAAGACACACTGGAAATCAGCCTTAGCGACTACCAGGAGGTCCAGGAGATTCTGAAGCTTGTCGGGAAGCTCATCAGGTCCAGGGTCAGATCCCAGGGATGGCACAAGAACAGCCAGGAGAACCAAGAAGAGTCTGCTGTCGAACATCGTCATGTTGATTCCGAGTGACTTATCAGATCATCGTCAAGGGTTATTATAGGCAGCGAAAACTTGTCGAATAATATCACCCACTCGCCATGCTGCTTTCTGTAAAAATATTTGCAAACATCAGCTTATTTTAAACAATAAAACATATGGTGAATATCACATGTTCATATTGATTTTCAAGCTTGAGCGATTTTTCATAAATGGCTCATACTCTTGCACCTACTAAACTTTAAGATTGAAATTGCACGAGATAACAGTCGTTATTACAAATTAAATGAGAGGACACATATCACGGAGTACAGCTCATTGTGGGTTGAAGATCTACGCAAATCACATTTAGTTGTTAATGTCACTTGTCTTGCCATTTCATTTCATGGGCATACTGATTGATAATAAGTTTAATGTGTTAATATTTACACCCGGCATAGGTTTGTTTCAATCCATAGATACTTGAGACTGATACATAAATGGACATAGGGTTGTACATAAGTTTATCAGCCCGGTCAGATCGTCGTCAGCCTGTTCTCGGTTCCTTTGGTTTGGTATCTCCTGATCTCTTGGCGCAGATCAGAAGAGTGCCCCGGTTCTTCATCGGAAGCACAGCCCTTCTGACAGTCTGAGCAATGGAAAAGGCAGCAATATTGGGGAGTCTTCAAATTATCCGGACGGTTCTTGGTGGGTTCAACTAGGCAGCACTTCCCGGGAAGTCTAGGCTGCGTGTTAATCGATCAAGAGTACCCGAGATGATGGTGATTACCACCTTAATTCACAACCCTACCTAATGACCACTTATCTCACCTTATGACCACTTTCACACCTCATGTCCACTTATCTCACCGTATGTCCACTGTCACACCCACATATCTCTCCTTATGTCCACTATGCCATCTCTTAACAACATATCTTACTTCATGTCCACTGCCTCAGCTCATGTCCGCATCACTATGTCCACTATCTCAACTGTTGACCACATATCTCACCTTAAATCCACTGTAGCTTCTCTTGGCCACATATCTCACCTTAGGTCCACTATCCCATCTCTTGGTCACATATCTCACCTTAGGTCCACTATCCCATCTCTTGGCCACATATCTCACCTTAGGTCCACTATCCCATCTCTTCCACCTTATCCACATCTCTTGACCACATATGTCACCTCATGTCCACTATCCCACCTTTTGACCATATATGTCCACAAAGCCATTACTATGTCTATTTTCCAACCTCAGTGCCCCTCTTCCGACCTCATAGTGCCTTTCCTACTTGATCGCCATGTTTCCATCCTAACTTGTAGCCACCGACGTCACCATATAGCCACCATCGTCACCATACAGTCACAAACTTCGCCATATAGCCACCATCGTCACCATATAGCCACCAACGTCACCATATAGCCACCATCGTCACCATACAGCCACCAACGTCGCCATATAGCCACCATCGTCACCATATAGCCACCATCGTCGCCATACAGCCACCAACGTCGCCATACAGCCACCATCGTCACCATACAGCCACCATCGTCACCATACAGCCACCATCGTCACCATACAACCACCAACGTCGCCATATAGCCACCATCGTCACCATACAGTCACCATCGTCACCACATAGCCACCATCGTCACCATACAACCACCATCGTCACCATATAGCCACCATCGTCACCATACAGCCACCATCGTCGCCATATAGCCACCAACGTCACCATATAGCCACCATCGTCGCCATACAGCCACCAACGTCGCCATACAGCCACAATCGTCACCATACAGCCACCATCGTCATCATACAGACACCAACGTCACCATATAGCCACCATCGTAACCATACAACCACCAACGTCGCCATATAGCCACCATCGTCACCATATAGCCACCATCGTCACCATACGGCCACCAACGTCGCCATACAGCCACCATCGTCACCATACTGCCACCATCGTCACCATACAGCCACCAACGTCACCATATAGCCACCATCGTCACCATACAACCACCAACGTCGCCATATAGCCACCATCGTCACCATACAGCCACCATCGTCACCACATAGCCACCATCGTAACCATACAACCACCATCGTCACCATATAGCCACCATCGTGACAATACAACTACCAACGTGGCCATACAGCCACAGACGTCACCATACAGCCACTATCGTCACCATACAGCCACCAACGTCACCATAAGGCCACCATCGTCACCATACAGCCACTTATCTCACCTCATTGCCACAATCACACAACCACTCATCTCATCTCATCGCCACAATCACACAGCCACTCATCGCATATCATCGCCACAATCACACAGCCATACATCTCATCTCATTTCCAAAGTCACACAGCCACTCATCTCATCGCATCGCCACAACACAACTACACAGCCATTCATCTCATCTCAACGTCACAATCACGCAGCCACTCATCTCATCTCATCGTCACAATCACACAACCACTCCTTGCATATCATCTCATTACCACAACTACACAGCCATTCATCTCATGTCATCGCCACAATCACACAGCCACTCATTGCATATCATATCATCACCACAATCACACAGTCACTCATCTCATCTCATCTCCAGGATCACGCAGTCACTCATCTCATCACCACAATCACACAGCCACTCATCTCATCTCATCGCCACAACTACACAGTCACTCATTTCATCTCATAGCCACAATCACACAGCCGCTCTTCGTATATCATCGCCACAACTACACAGCCATTCATCTCATGTTATCGCCACGATCACACAGTCACTCATCTCATCTCATCGCCACAATCACACAGCCACTCTTCGTATATCATCGCCATATACACACAGTCACTCATCTCACCTCATCGTCACAATCACACAGCCACTCATCTCATCTTATCACCACAAAAACACAGCCGCTCATCTCATCTCATCGCCACAATCACACAGCCATCCATCTCATCTATTCGCCACAATCACACAGCCGCTCATCTCATCTCATCGCCACAATCACACAGCCACTGACCTCATCTCATCGCCACAATCACACAGTCACTCATCTCATCTCATCGCCACAATCACACAGCCACTCATCGCATATCATCGCCACAATCACACAGCCATACATCTCATCTCATTTCCACAGTCACACAGCCACTCATCTCATCGCATCGCCACAACACAACTACACAGCCATTCATCTCATCTCAACGTCACAATCACGCAGCCACTCATCTCATCTCATCGTCACAATCACACAACCACTTCTTTTGTATATCATCTCATTACCACAACTACACAGCCATTCATCTCATGTCATCGCCACAATCACACAGCCACTCATTGCATATCATATCATCACCACAATCACACAGTCACTCATCTCATCTCATCTCCAGGATCACGCAGTCACTCATCTCATCACCACAATCACACAGCCACTCATCTCATCTCATCGCCACAACTACACAGTCACTCATTTCATCTCATAGCCACAATCACACAGCCGCTCTTCGTATATCATCGCCACAACTACACAGCCATTCATCTCATGTTATCGCCACGATCACACAGTCACTCATCTCATCTCATCGCCACAATCACACAGCCATACATCTCATCTCATTTCCACAATCACACAGCCACTCATCTCATCGCATCGCCACAACTACACAGCAATTCATCTCATGTCATCGTTGCAATCACACAGCCACTCATCTCATCTCATCGCCACAAAAACACAGCCGTTCATATCATCTCATCGCCACACAATCACGTAGCCACTCATCTCACCTCATTGCCACAATCACACAACCACTCATCTCATCTGATCGCCACAATCACACAGCCACTCTTCGTATATCATCGCCACATACACACAGTCACTCATCTCACCTCATCGTCACAATCACACAGCCACACATCTCATCTCATCGCTACAAAACACAGCTGCTATCATCTCTATCTCATCGCCATTAATCACAGCCGCTCATCTCATCTGATCGCCATAATTACACAGCCGCTCTCATCTCATCTCGTCGCTACAATCACACAGCCACTATCTCTATCTCATCGCCACAACTACGCAGTCACTCATCTCATCTCATAGCTATAATCACACAGCCACTTCCGTATATTATCGCCACAACTACATAGCCATTCATCTCTCATGTTATCGCTACAATCACATTGTGCCACGCATCTCATCTCATCGTCTCAATCACACAGTGACTCATCTCATCTCATCACCACAATCACACAGCCACTATAGCATATCATCGCCACAATCACACAGTCACTATCTCATCTCTCATCGTCACAATCACACAGCCACTCATCTCTCATCTCATCGCCACAACATTGTAGCCACTCATCTCAGCTTCATCGCCACAACAACACAGCCTCTCATCTCATCCCATCGCCACAATCACACAACCACTCATCGTATATCATCGCCACAATCACACAGCCACTCATCGTATATCATCGCCACAATCACACATTCTACTCATCTCATCTCAACGCCACAATCATACAGCCACTCATCTCATCTCATTTCCACAATCACACAGCCACTCATCTCATCTCATCGCCACAAAAACATAGCCGCTCGTCTCATCTCATCGCCACACAATCACACAGCCACTCATCTCACCTCATTGCCACAATCACACAACCACCCACCTCTGATCTGATCGCCACAATCACACAGCCACTCTTTGTATATCATCGCCATATACACACAGTCACTCATCTCACCTCATCGTCACAATCACACAGCCACTCATCTCATCTTATCACCACAAAAACACAGCCGCTCATCTCATCTCATCGCCACAATCACACAGCCACTCACTCTCTAAATCTATTCGCCACAATCACACAGCCGCTCATCTCATCTCATCGCCACAATCACACAGCCACTGACTCTCATCTCATCGCCACAATCACACAGTCACTATCTCATCTCATCGGCACAATCACACAGCCACTCATCGCATATCATCGCCTCTCAATC